TTCTCTGCAAAATGGTGAATAATTCTGTGTATATAGAAATAGGAGTGCATAATTTCATAACTCAATTTTAATTTTATAGCTAAAAAGTAAAGCCTATTTCAGCAACTTATGAAAATTTATAAAGTATCATTCAAACCAATTATTTGGAAATTTAGCCTTCATTAGTAACTGAGATCATATGAGATGTTTAGAAATATAAATTGTCTGATTCAATTAAATTAATAAATTAGAAATAAGCATGAGATTAAAAATAAAATACCTAACTTTATGTCATACAATCCCTATCCGGCCTTATTATATTGTAATTAGATGTGAGATTTTTGTATCCTCATATTTTATGCAATTACCAGGCACAATAAAATATGAGATTATAAGTTGCATTACCTTGAATAAGTTGCATTACCTTGAATCTGATACGTTGAGAGAGTTTTAAGATTTGAAATCATATACTTTGACAGATATGGGCCTTCGAGATCACTACTCTTCTCAACTTTTAGGAGAACATCAACTAGAGAAATGGAAACTTATCCAATTTGAATCACCTAGCTTATATAGAAATTGCCTTTGAAATTGAGGAAGGAGATTGATTTTTAAGAAAATCATGTGGTTGATTTAATTGATTTTGACAAATAGAATTTGAACTGAAGAAAATGGTGAGAATTTGAACTGAAGAAAATGGAAGGAGACTAATTTTTATCACATTTTTACTTCATTTTTTTTCTTTCTTTTTTGCCCCTTATTGAAGTGTTTTATAGACAGTACCTATTTTACTTATCATTGACGTGTTGAATTATGAGTCAAAACACAATTCAATGTACTAAACTGTTCAATTACTTAATAATAATCAGATGGACATGAACAATGACAATGTTGAGCAATACCCATCAAAAGACATTCATTCTCTTGATGGTGACAATGGTGAGGATGTTGTAGTTGTTGAACAGGCCGATGCCGCTGTTTGGTGTGATGCCCATCAAAAGAAATTCATGCTCTTGATGGAGGAAAAGGTTGGAAAAGGAAATCGTACAGGCACGACTTTTAATCCAAATGGGTGGACACATATTATGGACGCAATGTTATTGGAAACTGGAAAGAAGTACACGAAGGACCAATGTAGACAAAAATTCAATAATATAAGAGCATTGTACAAAGATTGCAAACAAATATTATCTGAGACTGGTGTAGGGTACAACAGTGAAACTGGAATGATTGAGTTGGAAGCTGAAAGATGGGTTCGATTGTGCAAGGTTAGTATTTCAATACGTGTCTATTTACCATACATATAGTAAGTAATTAGTGATTTAGTATTAAAAGGGTTTGATGAACAATAATTGTAAGCTGATAACGTGTAGGTTCTCAAGCATGGAAAAAAAATAAAAAAAACAGGGGTGTAAGAATTATGAGCAGATGGTAAGGATTTTTGGGAATACACATGCTACTGGCAAGCATGTTCATCCTTCTACAAAGCCACCCAGACCTCACCAAGTGCTAACAATGCCTCAAGTGGCAACATATGAAGCTCAAATTCATAACACTAAGGGCAATGTGGGCATGACTGATGTAGAACGACCTAATGTAGAAGGACCTATTGACCTCAGTCCTACTCCTAAACCTGTAGCTAAGAAACAGAAGAAAGAAACTTTTTCCGAAACAATGTCTTTAGTGATGGAATGTTTGACTAATATTAGGAACGCGAAAGCTGATAAAATTGCAAAAGCCATAGCAGAATCATCTTCTAGTTGTCAACCATCTCGATTTACCGAAATGCCTGAAGTGACATATCCTAGTAAAAAAGAAAAAGAAATGGATCCCCAGCTTGAAGAGTGCATTAAGATCGTCAACACATTAGTGGGGATTGATGAAACCCATTATGCTAAGATCATAAGGATGTTTGGTGAGGACAGGTGTGGAGGGACATATTTCTTCGCATTCCTGATGAAAGGAAGGTTGGGTGGGTGATGAATCAGCCTCTATGATTTCTTCGGTATCTTTCTTTTATATGCTTTTGGATGACTGTTTTATAACTGTTTTTACATTACTGTTGGATGACTGTAATGAATTTTTCTTATCTACTGCTTTTACATTATTGTTGGAAGATTGTATTTAATTCCTCTATCTACTGCTTTTAAATTAATGCTGGAAAACTATTTATGTTCTACATTTATTGCTTTTACATTGTTACTGGATAATTGTATGATTTGGTATGTCTTTTCCATTTTGCTTAATTTTTGTTACAATAACTGCTTCTGTTTATTCTTAAATAGGATAGTAGCTATGAATATAAGGACAATATTAACCATTTATGATGATGATGATGAGGAGGAAATTCTTGTATTGATCGTAGCCGTATATGAGTACTATTATAAACATTTTGATAAACAACGTTGTAGGGATTCCATGTTACAAGGGGAAGATTACATATTCGAGGTCTTAAATGGACATGAAGATAGGTGTTATGAAAATTTTCGGATGTACCCCAACACCTTTAGGGCATTGTGTCGTGAGTTGAAATTGTTAGGATTGAAAGATTCAAAATTTCTAACGGTAGAAGAACAAGTTGCAATTTTCCTACTTACTGTGTCTCACAATGAAAGGAATCGTGTCATTACTGAAAGATTCCAACACTCTACATCCACAATTTCGTATCACTTTCATACTGTATTAAAGTTAATTTGTGAGTTAGGGACTAAGATTATTGTTCCCCCGGATTTGAATGAAATTCCTAAAGAGATAAAGAACAATCCAAAGTTTTACCCATACTTTAAGAATTGTGTAGGAGCCATAGATGGTACTCATATCCATGCTGTAGTGCCAGTTAACCAACAAATACCCTTTCGTGGTAGAAAGGGTGATACGACCCAAAATGTCATGGCCGTGTGTTCATTTGATATGAAATTCACATACATTCTAGCTGGGTGGGAAGGGTCTGCTAATGATTCGAAGATTTTAAATAAGTGCATTCAGAATGAGGATTTCAATTTTCCATCACCACCCGAAGGTAAAAATATTAAGTTTCCATATTTGTGCATTTAACATTACAAATACGTTAATTTTAATACTTAACATACTTAACATGATAGGTAAGTTTTATTTAATCGACTCTGGGTACGCCAATCAACCGGGGTTTTTGGCCCCTTACCGAGGTCAACGTTACCATATGCAGAAATATCGTAGACATACTAGAGGACCACGTGGTAGAGAAGAGGTGTACAATTTTAGGCACTCGTCATTGAGGAATATCATAGAGCGATGTTTTGGGTTGGTAAAGATGAGATTCGCTATATTGAAGCAAATGTCCCCTTATCACTTTGACACTCAAGTTCTTATTGTCATTGCCTGTTGTACATTGCATAATTTCATAAGATCCCAAGGTGAATCTGATGAAATTTTTTATTCTGAAACCCCTCAATCTTCACAAAATGAACCTGATGTGGATGACGATGTTCAGGTGGTCAGTGCTACTAATACACAGATACGACAGATGGATATTTATTGTGATGGTATTGCCAACCTAATTTGGGAGCACTGTAATCACTAATTATAAAACTGTCTAATAGTGGGTAGAATTAAAATATGGATGACTGTAATAACTAATTATATTACGTAAATTAAACTCAGATGCTCCTTATTTATGGATAACTGTAATAACTAATTATATTATGATATCAAATATTAAATGCTTTAGTACTTGTAGGCGCACTTATGTATAGGCTTGAAGGTGAGCGACCACAATGTGCATGTGGTAGAGGTCCTATGCATCTGTATAGGGCTCGAACTCCAAAAAATGATGGTCGACAATTCTATAGGTGTCCAGCTCGGGAGGTATAGTCAATTACTTTTAGGTGCTATTTCTGTTACTGTTTCCTAATTGTATAATTTATATTTCTTGTAGTCACATATGAATGCATTTATGTGGGTGGATGAGTTGCACCAAGGTGCACAAGTTGAAGAACAAGTTCAATCTGACTTGGACAGAGTCATTGCAATGATTCAAAATGAATAATGTAGACAGAAGTACATACTCTTCCTAGGTTGTGGATGTCTTGCTATCACAATCATGTTTATTGTGATTGTCCTCTTGTTGCTCATTATCGCTGTTATTGAAAGATGAAGTTAGATAAACTTCCATCTTTTGTAATATATGACATGTAATACGTATTTAGTTAATTTCTTGTGTTTCATTTGGTATGTAATATATACTTAAATGGTATATTTTGAACTGCGTATTAGTTGCTGTTGTGTTATCTTCTCTGTCATTTTGGGAGTGAGCTTTAGGGTATTTGTAAAATTTGCTACTGAGGTCATTTACACTCTATTTGCAACATTAAAGACAAAAAAAAAAAAAAAAAAGGTTAGATATATCTTGTTTACTACTTCTAATTATTTCATTCCTACCGTGTGTTATTTTGTTTTTCTCTAATATTGTTCATGTCTTTTGTTTTGCATGAGGTCATTTACACTTTAAATTTACAACTAAGCTTGAAAAAAGGTTAGATATATCTTATTTACTACTTCTAATTATTTCATTCCTACCGTGTGTTATTTTGTTTTTCTCTAATGTTGTTCATGTCTTTTGTTTTGCATGAGGTCATTTACACTTTAAATTTACAACTAAGCCTGAAAAAAGGTTAGATATATCTTATTTACTACTTCTAATTATTTCATTCCTACCATGTGTTATTTTGTTTTTCTCTAATGTTATTCATGTGTTTGGTTTTGCATGAGGTCATTTACACTTTAAATTTACAACTAAGCCTGAAAAAAGGTAAAATATATCTTGTTTACTACTTCTAATTATTTCATTCCTACCGTGTGTTATTTTGTTTTTATCTAATGTTGTTCATGTGTTTTGTTTTGCATGAGGTCATTTACACTACAAATTTGCAGCTTAGCCTGAAAAAAGGTTAGATATATCTTGTTTACTATTTCTAATTATTTCATTCCTACCGTGTGTTATTTTGTTTTTCTCTAACGTTCTTCATGTGTTTTGTTTTGCATGAGGTCATTTAAACTCCAAATTTGCAGCTTAGCCTGAAAGAAGGTTAGATATATCTTGCTTAAATTAAATTTGTGGACGGTGTCCCTTGTTAATTGAATTTTGTGGACGGTGTCCCTTGTTGAAATAATTTTGTGGGCGGTGTCCCTTGTTAAATGAATTTTGTGGGCGGTGTCCCTTATTGAAATAATTTTGTGGGCGGTGTCCCTTGTTAAATGAATTTTGTGGGCAGTGTCCCTTATTGAATTAATTTTGTGGGCGGTGTCCCTTGGGTTTATTGTGTTTTGAAATTTTGGAAATGTCCATTTTTAAGGGGAAGTCATGCCGGATTTTTTTAAAAAAAAATAATAAAAATTGAATTTAACTCTGCTTTATATTTTGCTACTATAGGTAATGTCTTGTTTTACATTCAAATTCATTTTTTGCTACTACATTGAAGGACATGGCAGTAAGTTGTAGGCAGTGGCACCAGTGGGATTGATAGGAAGCATTCTCCAGTTGCTGCAACTCCAGAAAGCTAGTGATCTCTAAGTTAATCAAATGGAGGCCTATGCAAGTATAAAAAAGTGGGTGTACATTTTATGGAATGAATATTAGTGATCTCCAGTTATGTGTACATTTTATGTAAGTGTAATGAAGTGTGTGTGTACACACATACTATTTTAAAGGAATGTCTAGCTCCTTATATATGGAAGTATATATGTGAATGGTGCAACACTCAAGTTCTTAAGACTGGGATGTATAAAGCAAAAATATACAATTATTATATATGTGAATGTTGTTCAATCTTGTAAGAGGGATCTTCCTTGATTGCTTACTTTTAATCTTTATTCATATTTATCAATTCTGCTTATGGTTGGATATTGTATGAAATATTCACATGGTTAGATATTGTATGAAATATTCACAAGTCCGTTATCAAAATAAATACTCAACAAAAGGAGAAATGGTCTTCTGACTAAACAAAAAAAAAAATATTACCAATTTGAAGGACCTCCACTACAAAATTTCAAACTAATCTAAGTGAAGTAAAACTATTCACAAGCTTTAATGTTCATCAAATTTCAACTCTGACCAATTCAAGACGATTAACGTTTTGGCTTTGTTTCTTGTTTGTTTCAACTACAAGGATCTCTCTCTCTCACATTCATCATGAATATATATATATATATATATATATATATATATATGAAACAAAACAAAGTTAAATGGAATGCAAGCCAAAAGAAAAAGATAAATAGAGTGCAAAGATCTACTCTCATTGAAAGATTATTACAAAGTTAGATTTGTAATTTGGTTACCATTAATCATGTTTATACAGATTTATTCATTATTACAAAGTAGTTTGGTTGCCATTATACATGTAAATTTAACAAAAAAAAAAAAAAAAATTTCCCAACTCTAATGCAGAATTTTTTTTTTTTTTTTTTCCACAAATTATCTCAAATCATAAAGAAAAATGAACTATTTTACATATAAACTTATAATTGTATTCATATATATAATTTTTCAAAACAAAACAAAACAGTCTTTACCAAACAGGTATTCTGTCGGATTCCTTAAAACGCATGATAATACCAAACGCGTTATCATGTTTTCGATATACAATTATCAAAAACAAAACAATCGTTACCAAATATGGATCCGATTTCTACTAAAAACATACCAATACCAAAACGATTGTTTTCATATCATACCAAACCATAACATATAACGTTATCGCCATTCAAACGGACCCTTAATATTCCTCTATGATATAAAAAAAACCTTAGGCCATCTCCTAAAAACTGACAGAATCTCATCTTCCGAAAACCCCAAATTCTTAAAGACCTCCAATTTCAACTCCCATTTCTCCCTAGTCATTTCTCCAATAACCCGAATCGCACTAAGAAACATCTTAGACTTCCTGTCAAAGCCCATCTCATCAACCCTCTTCACATATTCTCTAATCCTCGTCGGTTTGCGCTAGAAAAATGTTGGGAAACTATAGACACTTCGAGTTATTTTCGACGAACTAATGCCACAGCTCTTCAAAAATTCAATATTGGGTATCATAGTTTTCGCCAAATCATAAGCCAAAATCCTCCGAGATTTCTTTAAAACCTTAGACACATCATCCATATTTGAACCCAAAATACTCTTCAATGATAAAATCGATGGGCCAAGATGACTATCAACGCTACAAGCTAGAATCCGTGGGTCAGACGAAACAATTTTCACAATATCGCTACAAGAAATACCCAAGTCTTGAAAAAACTTGAATTTGGGTTTGATGGAAAGCTCAAGATTTGCAGAGAGAAGTTGAGGCGCGTTTTTTATGACATGCTCGAGATTGGTATCCGCAAAACCACTTTCCTGGAGAAATGACAGAATCGAATCGATCTTTTCAGGCCTTGTCAGATTGGGGCTTTTTGGAGAGGAAGAGACTTTCGAAGCAGTTTCAGGAGAAATTTTGTGTCTCTCAATCAAGTAATCAGCTACCGCATTGGGGGTTTTTGGAGAGGAAGAGAAGAAGAGGAGAGAGAAAAGAGAGATTGGGGTTTTGTTGAGATGTGCAGAATTCTTGAGAGAAAGAGAGAAGAGACTTTTGCAGATGTACATAGTCCTCATTTCTTGAAGATACATACAATCAACCAAAGCGAAGAGTGTAGAGATGAGTACTTTACCTGTAAAGTGGGGAGCTTCATAGATTTGCAGTGATTCGATTTTCTCTCTCTATCATTCTCGCTCCCTCTCTCTGGTTCTCTGAAAGAGTGTGAATAATGAACAACGTGCCCTAAATCGACACTAAGTTTGAGCTCTCAGAATTTTTATGTTCGCTTGAGTGAAAGTCCTAGTCCAAAAAATTAGATGGGCTGGACCGAAGTCCTAGTGCTTGAATTTTGTGCCTATTCTTAATCTATAGGTATGTTTTTGTGCAACATGTTATTTTTCGATAATTTTATACCTTTTATTAGCAATGAATCTAAAAAATTACGTAAGGAGGAGCAATAATGAGTTCTTTTAGTAATTTCAAGTGGGATTATAGTAATATTTTATGGACATATAAATAAAATAATAAATTAGTAAGAGTATATTATTAAAAGAAATATATATTGATTGAGGTGTGCAATTATATATAATATGTAGGTCTGGGCGTATTTTTTATTATTTTTCGTTCACAATTAATTTTGGATGATGATATAGTAATTGTTAGGAAAAGATAAATGAATCTTTTTTATTTTAATTTTTAAATTAAATGAGGTAAATGTATCTTATATTTAATTTTCAAATTGAATTAAGAACAATAATATTAATTCATTAGAAAATTTGGGACGCATTTATTACCTCGGTAATTGTTATTGGCAAAGTTTTGCTTATAAAAAAACCTAAATGTTATATTCCCCAAATGTTATATTAGTAAGAAATCCACACATTCACAATCTTTTGTCCCAGCGACTTGAATCATTCACCAATTTTTAAAAGTGAAATAGTTTTGTTAAGTAATAACCTTTGTTGGTCCGATGACGAAGGTAAATTTATTGATAAGTATTATTGTTCTTCTACACCTCATTCAAAAATAGTAAAAATCTACAAATGCTTAATAAAAATGATATAATAATAAGTAGGGTTCAGCCACTCTCAAGGGATGGAGAAACAATTTTTAAAACAATTTTTTATTTTGATTAATGAAACTTACACTAGAATTGAAGGATTGAAAAAAAAAAAAAAAAAAAAAAAATCTCCAGGGAAAGAATCCACCACCATGGATCAATATAAATAAACTTTTATTATTCTCATGTAAATTTTCATGGATAAATATAAATAAACTTTTATTACAATAGAATTGAAGGGTTGTAATTAAATAATGAAAAAAAATCTCTAAGGAAAATAATCCACCACCATGGATCAAATATAAATAAATTTTTATTATTCTCATGTAAATTTTTCTCTAATAAACAATTCACTCTACCAGTTCAATTACAACTTGAAAAGATTGAGGAAAATTACAACATTCAATAGCATTTGCTTATATATATATGAGAGAACAATTATTTTATTTAATCCGATATATCTTTGCTAAATTGAAGAAGGTATTCTCCAAATTACTATTATTTGGCAAACATGAATAATGCCCCCTCGATTTTTTTCAATCTAAGAACATGGAATAAAAGAACATTCATAAGAGGAACACTTACATAAGAAATAAAATAGATTTACTTAAATTTCAGCCATGGTGGCTTCATCATTCCTTGAGATGGGGTGTTCAAGCTAGCATGTAAATAAGAACACAAAAATAAAAATGCTCTTCATAAAAAATAATTATAAGAAATAAATTTAAGACAAACAAAACTACTAACTCTTTATTATTTTCTCTCCCTAACAATGTACATCTTCTCCCCTCATGAGAGTCATTATTTTTATAGAGTTTAGAATGGTTCTAATTACTGGAGTGAAAATAAAATAAAATAAAAAATAGAAAAAATCTTCCTAAATGCTTTCTAATTTGAAATGATATGCTTTCCAATTTGGCTTGATATTTTTGACTTGATATGCTTTCCAATTTGGCTTTATATTTGCTAATTTGATGAAACGCCAATTTTGAATTTAAAATTGAATTTAACTACAAGGGTTCTGGTGTTCATGTTTTCGCCATTTTTGCCTCTTTTCTTCTCATTCCGAAATTAGCCCCTATAAAATATGAAAAGCAGGATAAGAACATTTATCTAATAAAAATATTATTTATTTATTTATTATTGAGTTTAAAATATCAAGTTTTGTACACTTATCAAATTACCCCCAAACAAGTTTTTACTAGTCCTCTAGCAAATAAAGGTAAAAAGAGATAAGTTCACAAAATTGCTACTTTAACTGACACCAAACTAAAGATGTGTCATTTTCGATAGCATTTATTATATGTAATAATGCCTTAAACCCCTAGGTTACCCTAATGGATGAGTTATAGCCTCGTAAGGGTTTCCAGAGATGATACCTACAAATATCCAAAATTGTGCACACATTGCACTTAGCTCAATTACTTCCATGGAATCAGAAACGATTGCATACAAATCATCATCAAGTTAGCTATTATGTTAAGTATAAGAAAGATTAATATTCCCAAGCAATCCCAAACCTCCAATTACATGAACTAATACTATGGTCCCCACACAAAGTTCAATTTAACATATTTCCAATAATAATCAATCCCTAACATCCAATTACGTGTTTTACCTTCTTCTTTCTTTCTTTCTTTTTTTTTTTTTTTTTTTCTTATATTACACATCACAATAGCTTCAACTTATTAATATTCCCTTCCAAGTTGGAGTACCCAAGGCATGAATTCATGACTACACTTATGCATGCAAATTTTTCATCTTTTTTATTTTTTATTTTTTTCAAAGATGGCAAGCTATGCAATGTTTAAGTTCCTTAAGCTTTCTAGGTGACCCATGTAATGAGCTTTAGGCTAATGACTCACAACCAAATGGTTTTAGGGCATTAGGTGTAAAGACACCCCAAACAGCTTATTAACTCAAGTCAACTAGGTTTCGAACCTAAACTAGCGTTATCAACACTTTCATTTTTTCTTAACCCTTTACTTTTTGACACGAACACTCATTACCTACTAAGACAAGAGGTCTGGTTACTTCGTGAAAGGCATTAACTAATTATGTATATTTCCATATATCATCATGCCAAGGATATCCACTTTTCAAGGTCTACTAACTCGTATCGAACACATGTAATATATAACACAAGGTTAGGCCTATATCCCACAAAAAGATACTAGTGTGCATATGTGAGAAGTGAAGTACACTAAATACTAATTATCACTAACAACAGTCAAACTGGACAATGATGTAGACCATATATACCAAAACATGGATTAAAATTTCAAAACTACCCAAAAATACCAATTCCCACTCATACATGAATAATAATTCACCCAAATTTGACATGAAATGCAATTCAACTTGTAATTTTTATAAAAGCAAGATCATTGCCCCAACCCTAAATAAAGACAACACTATCCCCCATGTTGGCACCACAAAATAAGGAAACAAAATGGATAAGTATAATTGGGACATATTACCTCAATTGTTTTGGTGTGGAAGTACAATCTCTACAAAGATGTTATGTAAACAATCGAAACCATATCAAACAAATAATATACCCCTAAACAAAATATAACTATATTCACATACTAAACAGTTATGGAGCTAACGAGTAGGAGTGACATACAATGACTGAGACTCGAAAATCAATCCAATGTAACTGAATAGACATAATGGGCTGGATTGCCTCCCAGGAGCGCTAAGGTTAACGTCTTCAGTCAGACGAAATGGGGGTAGTGCCCCCAAAAAGATCAACTTCAGCACATGCAACTTCCTTCAAGTTATAGCATCATTTTGTAAGTGATTGCGATGTTGTACCACTAAATGACTAATATATTCGGTATCATCAATGGACCAACCTATGCCTTCCATATTCGCCTTAAGACATCAAGGACTTGAGTTGCTTGGTGATCGGTTAAGTCAGGAGTTATAACCACAGGAAAAGTATCAGAGTCACTTAGGTATGAGCATGTAGAATCCTCAGGGTAAGATTGCTCAAAGTTGTGAGCTTTGAAAAACTCGACAAGACAAACCTTTTTAATGGAATCTGAGTGAGGGGGTTGTTGCATTAAGCTAAATACATCGACGCCCACTTTCATATTTCCAAAGGTCAATGTCATGTTACCATTTCTACAATTGATCACTGCATTCGCAGTAACTAAGAATGGTCGACCTAAAATGATTGGAATTTCTTTACAATGACTAGGTTGGGTATCCATCACATGAAATCTACATGGTAATTGGAATCAACCACTTTCACAATCACATCCTTAATAATACCCCTTGGAATCTTAATTGATCGATCAACTAATTGAATTCTAATATCAGTTTTCCTCAAATTGTTCAATCCTAACTCTTGGTAAAGAGAATAAGGTAACAAATTCATAGTGGCACCTAGATCCAACAGGCCTGGTTAGTAAAATTTTCGTCAATCCTACAAGTGATAGTCAAACTACCAGGGTATTTATATTTGACCACAGCTTGGTTTTGTAGGAATGAGGAATAATGTTGGGCTATGAAGGCTTCCTTAGAGATGTTGGTTTTCCTCTTAACTAAGTCTTTGATGAACTTTGCATAAGAAGGAATTTGCTTAATATTAGTGAAAAATGGAATATTAATCTGAAAATTTTGAAAAATTTCTAATATCTCACTATATTGGGACTCCTTTTTATTACTAACTAGTCAAGAAGGGAAAGGTGCAAGTGGAACATAGGGTGGAAGAGTAGGATCATCAATTTAAGGATTTTGGTCCTTTTTGGCTTTTGGAAGGTTTGATGGACGGGTGAAGATGCAAGAAATTCATTCTTCCTTTCTCTCTCTAGAACTCTTACACTTCAACAGAAAAAATCCCCCTCCTCTATCCATTACTTCTCCTATTTATAGATACTTACAAACATTAATGGACTGCTAGATCTGGGCCCGTTCCTCTGTGAGTTTTGGTCATCTTTGATGGGCTATTCGCGTTCGGCCCATATGGCAGTGTCTCTCTATGGGCTTGACCCATCT